TGGTTTAAGCCATGTAGGACGATGCAGACTAGGTGGTTGGGGTCGCGAGACAAGAGGAACCAGTGGTTGGAGACCCTAGGTGATATGGCTCAGAACCAATGTCAGTGGCGCAGATGTATACACACATTATCCTCATCCTAACTACACTATACCGAATCTCACCATTTTGTCACTCCTCTTTCCTTTCTTCTCATGCTTTATATTTCTTTTGACTGCATTCTCTTATCTTCATCCTTCACCTCACTACCTTTCTACCTGATGAACTGACGTGAGGTGTGGCAACTAGGACCGTTACGCAGTAATGCCTGCTCCTATGTTGATAATGATTGATTGATTGACTCACTCATCAATGACGCATCAGTCGATCCACTACACAGCATGAAAACACCCCCACCCCAAACTCTCTCAGTTACCTTCCTCATTCCCCCTAACCCTGACATCATTTACTCTCTATATTCACATCACCTGATAAGAATATCGACAATAAACTATATCCAAAACGTTATCCAGTAAATGATACTGTTCCACTGTATGACATTTCCAATAAAAAGACTAACATGAAATTGCAACCTACCACAGTGCCAAACATTTCCTTCCATGTTGAACTAGTATACAGGCGAAGTGAAGGAAATCAATACTGTGTCCACATATTCACTCAACCTGAAAGCATACTTAACCTACAAACCACAAAATACATCATGATCTGTAGATTACGAGAAGTGTAGTCGGCTGCACAAATATCAAACTTACAAGAATCCTCTCATAACGTCCAATATCATCGTTCACATGAACCGTTCAACTAGTTGGAGTCATGCACGACTACAACTCGTTACCTGACACCTTGCTCTCAACTGAAGAAGGTTGAGGCTTTCGACAGCATCACCCAATCATTTGTATGCATGTCGAGAACAACTAATGGGGTTAGGTAACAATTATAGTTGACCTATGGTATGCTCATACTTCAGTTCTAATCCCACAAATGCAATCACTTTCGCAGCCTAACTCAAATGATTTTCATTCATGCAAGTCAATGGAGTTTCAGCTGCAGATCACAAGGTGAGCTAGAATAGCAGAAAGTGGACATGAATCAACTTGATCCACACATTCACATCATAAATCTTGATTGGTCTTACAATGTAAAAACACGTAGTGCATAGCACGGTGCATAAAGCACCGATATCATTTAGATGAAGAGCAACATATCAACCACCGATTTCTCTACACACCAGTATTCATCAGTCATCGGACGTAGTTAGCTAAAGCAAGACACCACACATACATCCTCACAATTTTACACATAAAACAACCAGGATGTAAAACTTCTCAAATTCAACACCACAGCCACAACAATAAATACATCCACTCCGTCTATTTACTACGCCGTCTTATGTCGGAAGTGGAGAGTTGAGAATTTAGTAAATTGGTGATCCCCTGTTCGTCATCGATACTATTCTAATATAAACTCAATGCGTCCTCTGTCCAGTCAAATACTGACTTCCATTCCTGAGATTTGACAACCACCTTAGTCCCAGAAAATAATAACAATTATTATACTTATGTGTAGTAATAGGATGAAATTCGCATCTTGGATTCCACTGTAAGCCACTGCCCATCATTACTATACATACTTAAAAGACAGGCAATATCGAGGCGTCCGCACACAAGCCCATATACCAACAGAGACTGATCAATCCGGTCCAGTCAACGATGGTGAAATGCAAGCAATAATACTAAATTATTATTACTATTATTATTATTATTATTATTACTAGCATGTTTGTGAATACTACGATGATAATAATATCTACAAACAGTCAATCGAATTACACATAAACGTCGCATTCGATGAAACCACGAACGTGTAGACCACGTACAGATTGACCAGATATCACTAATCCAAGCTGAAAAGAAGTTGACAATTTTAAAAAATACAATATATTCATATCCAGTCTGTACAAATCAAGTGAAAGGATGAGAAATGTAATTGCATCAACACAAGTTATGCACAAACCATGTGAACTGCCGCTCTCACTTCTAACTCTTTCTTGACATATTCAACACTCACCTCATATTTTAACGATTGTATACTTGTCTTGACTTAGAAAATTCTATCATCCTTCATCCTGCTTCCCACTTCACCACTCATCCTCTCAATGGAACATCACAGATCATACCTACCCTCATCTCCTATCTCCACACTCTCTTTGATCCACATGGATCACAGGCCAGTGGGACAATAAGAAAAGCGACAGTATCTCGAGGACATTATTCAGAGAATGGAGTCAGGTAACGACTCACCAAAGTTGTTGTTACACTTCACACTGGCATACACAGATGATAGTTGATGATCATCAAAGTATATGCAGACCACATAACAACAGAAATGATATCAACACAAGTCTAGTTGTGCATACAGAGGATTGGTGACCGTTGAAGGATGAGTTGGAAGAAATCCACGATAATACCAAGAGAATTGCTTTTAACGAGAGTGTGTATCGATTTTGATTGTCCTTTCGATAAAGATCGTGAAGACAACTGTTCATCATGTGGTTCTGAACAGCATTCATCACCATCATTATCCTGGTCCAAATTCCCTCCTCTAAATATCCTGTCATATATGAAGTCAAAACTACACCCTAACTGTCAACTGACAATCACACATGTCACCTGTGTATCTCAGTCAGTTTTCAAAGTCTCTGTCATTTCAATACCTGGAATGTAGAAGGCGTCACCTCGAACAACAAAACTAGAATGAACTTGAAAAACACCAACTGTAGACATCTATCTATGGTGAACATCGCTGTACATTGATTGATACTACAGATGATTCTCAGAAAACAACTGTTCAAGATTTCCTTCGGCGTTCCGAAGGTGGCAAAACAGTTTCAGAGAATCTGTAATATAAACGCCTTTTGTAGAGATTTGATGAGCAATGAGGAATGGTGACGTCAACCAGTTGTGAAGAGTTGAGCAGTGGTGTTGTCTGGAAGCCAAATTATGATTGTTGGCTGTTCACAACACAGAAATACAGTACTTTTTGATTCACACATACCGCTGCTTCGCTCGCCAACATTAACCTGGGAGTATTTGCAGCAGACCATTCCTGGAGCATCATCTCACATTTCACAGGTGCTAGTGAAACGTATACCAATCATACTCGGATTTATGTTCAACACATGCAGAATTTTGTCAGGTTTTTTACCTAATAGCACAATATCTTCTGCATACTCGATGTCAACCAGATGACCTTCAGACAGTTTTATGATTCACCTAGAAGACAGGCTAGATCAGACATTTTTGATGATATCAACACACGTGCGTCATCACACGTGTAACCAAGCTCTACCTGGTGGTCATCATACAAAACTCTCTTAAAAATTTAAAATATCAATTTTTAAGGCATACATGTACTAGGAATAGAGTGTAGAAGGCGCTGTGCCTTGATTCGTGACCAACGTCATTTATGCAGTCTTCTTCTCACAGTGATCACAGGCAACTCCATCGACAAAGCTGATAATCCATATGAAGCATTCAGTTACTGGCACATCTTGAACTAGTCATTCTGAAGTGACATTTAGTTTTCTCACTTTAGATTTATGTCTTCTCCAATAACGTTTGACATGCCTTCACTCTGTCTCCTTCATACAGACTCTTTTTGTGCCCGAAACACTATGAACTGCGGCGATGATTTACTCTGCTTACACACCCCCCATAGATGTTGCGTAAGTATCTGAACTTAACGGCATCAAAATATCAACTCATATGTACCTACGTTACATGAACATTCCACCAGCTTCTTCGTTCATTGTGAATGCACTCGATTATTTATAACACGATTTCAATGTATCTATCATATGACCGAATACCTTATCAAACCATTTCTAAACGTCACACGTCAAACGCACTGAACTGAACGTAACTTTCTTGTGATGAAGAGAATAATATACCAATCAGTTGAACATCGACACCGTTGCTTCTTAGTCGAGTGACATCTCGTACTGTCGTTAACCTATAAACTACCACCGGTTGATTAAACTCCACTAGATGAAAACAGGCCTAAAGACATTTGACTTCGCATGTTCATACACTCAGACATAAACCACTCCATACTTCATTACACCTAATACAATCACCACAAATATATGCTTATTAAAAGCATTCGCTTCATACACAACTAATGACACCTGTTCGAGGGATATCACATTCACGGAGGACAACTCGAAAATATACAACTATGCTGCGATAAATAAAGATTGACAAAGCAATGTTTATGGGATAAAATGGCTAAGTCAAAAACAGAGGGACAATTACGACCACTCACCAAATTGCAGATGGCGTCAAAAACTCATTTATTAAAGTTTCTTTTGAGCGATTGTCGACACCATAGTCCTTCCACAAACGTGAATACAACTTGCATTTGTCACGTGACCACTGAGAGTACTTCTTCTTCAGTTCATCCAAAATCAGTTGCTTCTGTCCCACATTATCGGCATGGAAGTAGACATACTCTTCTCCCATGACTCGTCATCCAATGTATAGTTCAGCGTTCTCGTGAAACCAAAGCATTTCAAATGGTATGATTCGAATAAGCAGCTTTTAGGATCGGCATACTTTAAGAAAGTAATGAGTCGACCCAACAATGGGGCATCACAAGCACCTCCACGTTTGTATGCTCCTACCAAGTATTCCCCATCACTATGATAGTATAATGGGTCATTGAAAACTTTTCGAAGATCTAGTAGTGAATTCTCATCTGGGAAAATCAATGTAAGAGGACATTTCACCAACTTCTCTGCTATCGAATTCGCCACACATGCTTCTTCATTACCAGCTGGAATACCGTAAAAGTATTTCGAAATATCCTCTGTCAAATAAAGACCATTCTCACAGAAAAAATTCACTCGTCGAACCGGATGTTCAAGTTGACGCATTTTCATTGCAATCTTCAACACCTTCAGCTTTGAAATCCAACGACTAGTGGTATTTATCACAAGAATTTTCTATTTCTCGTCAACAATCCCGTTTTCAGTAAGCGCTTGGCTAACCCAGACATGCAGACAGTCATTCTTCATTGAATTTTCAGTTCCGTGAGTACCTTTACGAAAGTAGTTTACAACTGGTATTATCATCGCTAAGACACAATCCCTGATTATCAGAGGATTAATGATAGAATTATATACTGCATAATACTGAATATAACTTGCGCTGGTTTCAAGTACCCAATCCCCATCTTTATAGACACCACCACTCGTTGGTGCTTCACCGACCAGTCCATAGAGTACAGCTGCACATGCAGCATTAGCAATCCACAATCCAATTTTTTCTTGTCTGTAACATCCAACGTTGCCGTATTCGTAGGCAGATGCATATACTGCCAGCTTTGTCCATGCTTCGAAACCAACAGGTTGCTTCGCGTCACCAACAGTTGGGATATATGTTTTACAGATACATAGAGTGTGTCTCATATAAGCCTTAACTTCATTTTTTTCAGATTTATTGCTTAATGTGATATTAACCAGCTGTTTACAAAGATCACTACAGTAATTTTCAATAGAGTACGACATATTCCTTGACTAGATTGTCCTGAAATCAAATTAAATTTGTGTTTATATATTTGCAACCTCAAGGTGTTCAGCAATAAAGTGAACAGACAAACAAACTTTACTTGTCTACCAACACATACTCACAAATTTCATCAAGGTGTACTGCCAATCAAAACGGTGACGTTGGTTTGTTACCCCAATGCGCCCTATAGCACTTCAAGTAATGTGACTTGAGATCTCAAAAATGAAAACCAATGTTGTAACCCAGTCTAATGATAACAGTAGGAACCAGCAGAAATACCAGTTCGCCCTCTAATGTAGTATAGAGTTGCGCATTGAATTTTCAATCTAAACTCCGTCATACTGCCTTTGGAAGGTGTATTCAAGTCAAAGAAGAAAATTAAGTAAAGTTAAAGAATGGCATCCGTAGTCAACAAACTCAAAAATGGCTTGGACAACAAATGACTTCCAGTTTTCTGTGGATGTGTATAGGGAGAGAAAACTAACCTTTATACTTGAATTCATCCGTATGTCCTTAGATTGTTTCATCCTTTGAGCTTAGAAACAAAAAGTTTTATTAAACAGACTCACAAAGCACTGGAAAACTGTTCCAGGAAGTTTATTTCACTCAGGGTTAATAGCTTATTAGGTAGCCAGCCAGCCGTTGGAAGGGTTGGCTACTTAAGGTCATCCACTTACTCTTTAGTGTTGGCTGCTATTCTCTAACTTCACAGAAAACTGGTGCGAAGTCAGAACTCCTGAATTTCCAGTTCCCGGCACTTTCTTTCCTTCTTAGAAGTACTATGTATGAATAGTGACCAAGCCAAAATTCATATTACTTCAATTGCTTTATAATTCTTGATGAGGTAGTGAACGCCATCCATACTCCCGTCACCCGTTCATCCGTAAGCAAAGGAATCAAGCAAGTTAGTTGAAGCTGAACACGGGGAGTCAAGTGTACCAAGTGTAGAAACACTAACCTCGAGTCAACTATCGAATAGTTTATTGCCACTAATATAGACCTGTGGCCACTGACATTACATTTTAAACTAGCAAAATGATCGACAACAATAAGGAATAATCTAGATAATGAGCCCCTAGTCAGTAAGAGAATATCTGATGAAACTCATTTGGCACCAGCTTTCCACAGACACTCATTACAAACACTTTAAACGACTGCTGAAAAACAGAACAGAATGTGGAAGTCTAAGTGGACTCTAACGAATCAAAGTCATTTGTCCTAACTTTAGTGGTAACAAATGAATATAGAGCAAAATCCGATTCACCACTGAAATTCATTACATTCAAAGTTGTCACATAGCAGGTTTCCAGGCCGTACATGAACCCAACACAAACAAGACCCTAAGTTGAGTCAGTGTTTACAGGACTAATTAAAAAGCGCTCATAGGCCTTCACTCACCTGTGAAAAAAACTATCTGAAACCTCCGCAAATGATGTCATGGTTCAGTTCAGTATATATATTCCTGTCATATGATCATCACAAAAGTTCGCCCTGACAACTAGTAAACAGCCAATGAGGGCTTTGCATTTTGTGGAAAAAAAACTACATTTTCATCCAAAGCCGAGAAAGCCTAATTGGTAATCTCAAAAGATGAAATGTTCTATGTAAGATTTGGTTGGTCGCCATTACTTTTCGCCCACATAAAAGTAACAAGGTTTGCTATTGTAGGAATCAACAAGGCATTTTAGTTCACTTGTATGTTCACCATACTAGTTAAAGTGACTCAAAGGCCATCCTAACAACAAATGAAATAATCAGCTAAACACCTGTACGTCATGAAAATCTGCAGATAACTTAAAGGCCAAACCTAGCAACAACTGAAGTAACCAATTAGATTTGCATATTTCAGTTAGAAAGGCAGATTTTCATGAGATAGAGTTCTGATTGGTTACTTTACATGTTGCTAAGGTAGCCTATAGAGCAGTCACATCTGCATTTTCAACCAAAATAATGCAACCCTATGAGCCACTTAAGTCGTAGCTAGAGTGGACATCTGAGTCATTACATATCACATGCTCTACCACCACATAACACTGTACCAAAGCTAGCATGAAGGCAATGTATACCTCGGATGGCCACCATAATAAGAAATTGGACGTCTTTATTTTATAAAATCTGCCTCACCAGCCAAAATAAAGAAATTTAATAGGGTATTGCTATCGCCGCTAGGTTAACCTTTATGTGTCCCTCAAAGTAACTCAATTACAAATGAAAAATAACCAATCAGACATTTTTATTCTGTGAAAATCTATCATGACATTCAAAGTGAAGAAAAATAATTGATTTTAGTCGTTGATTTAGTGTCTTTTAAAGTCACTTGTCTTAAAGTTCGACACTACAGATCACTGTAACGTCAACGCAAGTAATCAATTAGGCTGCCGTATTTTATGGGTAAACTAGTATGACTTTAAAGCTACCCCAACAACAACTGAAATGCCAGTCTTCTGTATTTCTACTGAAAAAGTACTTCCTGGTAAAATAAGGGGATATAATTGGCTGTCCAATCAGTTGATAGGGCGGTCTTTAAGGTCACCCGAAGACCACCAGCTGAGGAGTAAATGACGCAATCGGGCTGGTTAGTTAGCCTAGCTGTTGTTATGGTGTATTGACATCCCAATCTAGGCTTGTTCAGATCACGGCTTACATACAGTTGCATACAGTTGTTTATTTGAATGACTTTAAAGGTCACTCTAGCGACTACTGAAAGAAATAACCAATTGCTTTCCTCAATTCTGAGAAAGTATGCCTTCCACGCAAAAATAAAGAAATCGGCTAGGTTTACAACAGTTACTAGGGTGGCCTTTAAAGTCACCTACAAGTCATCTGGTCAAGTGATCAACGTGTTTTAAACCGCTTAATAGCATATGTGAAGGGGGAAGCGTAAAGTTCTGTTATTCTCTGAAGACTACCAAAAGACCTTGAATTAGCCAATCGAGTTGAAGGTAACTGTATGGTCATTCTAAGAAGCTTTAAATGATCAGAAATATATCTCCGAGTTCACACTGAATTATGCACGATCCTGATTATAATTCCGACTGAATTGAAGGGAATTATTTCTCACACTTAACGTCTCTCAATGTTTTCTAATTTTGAGGGATTTTCCATGTGACCGCATTTCATATGGACAATAAAATCATATACAAGAATTTTTCAAATGACTATGATCTAGTATTTAGGTTATACACCCTGAAACTTAGTTGTAACTCTTATTTTAACTCAGCAAACCGGACTATTTATCTCTAAGTAAAGACTCAGTACCTATTAAACTACCAAGATGTAAACACAACAAAGTAGAGCCATTTTTGAAAAGGTTAAACTCTACTTCATAAATAATTTTACTGGAGTTCATACTGGTAATTTACAGATGATAGGGAACCAGTTGAAGGCTTATTTACATCTGTATCACAGTTCAGTAGGTTTCATGTTTCGTAGTCACATAAATGAATAACTTCACTGCTTTAGTCATAAGAAAGTACTCGAAAAAATCATTAGGAAAAATTATATATTCTGTGGACTTCATTTCAGTTCTTTATTTAAATCTAGAAGGAAACAAACATTTTCTTATTTGTGTGCTCAAGGTTACTTGGTAGTCGCTCAAGACTGAATATTAGTTGTTTATCTCAGTGCAATATGATTCCTTATTACATCTACTTATTTAATGCAGAATACAATTGTAGGGGAAATTAACAGCCTCACATTTAACACATCATACATGGAAGACAAAATTACTATGTTGAAACCAGAAGGTATGATCAGTAGTTTCGTAATAAATGAGAACCAATGCGATCAATCCACGTACGAGTTGGGAAAGGAACAGCGCAAATTCACTATGTTCAATAGAATAACCATAGCATGACCAATGTTCATTGAAGTATAGAAACTCAACTGAACTGTTAATTTCATACAATTCCTGTCATTGTTGAGTGACAACCGGGTGACGCAACGAACGCCTTAGCCATTCTGCCACTGGTTCACCATCTAGTGTCAGTCCGTGATGAATAAGACAGTGAAATAAATGAAATCCCTATCAACATTAAACTATATTATTCTATACTTTTCATTGATAACATGCTTCAACATTGTTTTCCGAAGTTCTAATCAAGAAAAGTGATCTGCTAGGTCAGCCAGTTTCAAGTGAACCGAATACAAACTTAAGAACCCAGTGGATAATTGCGCTATATTGCGTACTAATAGAAGTTCCAATCTGTGAACTACTGAACTCCGATTTAGAGCCTGAATAGTTAACACTTTCGCCACGAGACACAAAGGTGTTGAGATGGACTCGTGACGAGGATGTGATGTGAACTGCTAAGGAATCCTATACTAGAAAGAAATATTTGTCCAATGCTCTCAGGTTTTCAATGGTTCTCCAACTGATATCATTCAGTGATGAATCCTACATTGAAACGACTGCAGTTATTCACTCAATCATCAAATGTATCAACTCATACAGCCTTATTGTTTGTTCCAATTCAAACTCTGCATTTTATTATCTGAATTTTCAACTCCTTAGCTAGTGTACAATCTCTGGATTTATACATGCATACATGTAGTACGTGTAAACGTTCTCCATATATCAAATGCATGCGTACCGCGAAGTACAATGCCTCAAGGCTATCCCACTGAAACTATAGTTGAATTACAAAAGATAGATGCCACTTAGAGAAACGTAGTCTAGAAAGTCAAATGGAACTATTGTGATATATGACCAGACAAAACTATGAATAAGTAAAGGAGAAGAAGTAATAAAGATCATAATGTTTGCGATTGTACACATTTAAAAATGGCAAAGTAATGAAGAAAAGTTATTCCTCTCTGATACACAATAACTTATCTAATCTTTATATTTGATATGCAGGTGCAATTTGCACATACACAGTGGATAACTGTATAATTCACGTACACTTGAGGGTATAAATTAGAATTGTGAAAATAAACAAATGTCATCCGTTTCACTGGTATCTGTGAAATGTGAGATGATGCTCCAGGAATGGTCTGC